ATGCAGAAACAGCTGGTCTAGTAAAATTGTCAAATGGCCTTTGGAAAGCTCTATTATGGTTCCAGCTGGTGAGAGCATCTTTAGGGCTGGAATCATATCTTTCTGTGTGTATGATAGGTTCTAAATCCATGTAAATACACAGAGATGATTTTCCTCAACTCAAGATCCAAGAATCTAAGAACCATGGGAATATTTTTCAAATTGCTCATAATGATTTTTGTTTCTTTTCTTTGCAACTTTTGGCTTCTGTTGGTTTTTAGGTCTTACTACCTAAAAGAGGAATTGTGCCATAAGAAAATATATTTCTTCATGGAACCGTAGACTACCATAAGCCATTAAAAAAAAAACAGTGAAATCACAGGAACAAGCTCCTCTAGAGAGCTGTTCACTCTTCCAATATTTTGTTATGTAAGTTCATGGAGAGTTGCAAAAATCTTATGTAAGTAGCACTGTTAATGATACAGACTCTTCAGAAATGAGGATTTGGGTCATTCATGATAGTAAGCAACCACTGTTAACCAAGGTACCAGTGGGAAACAAAGAAAAAAATGAAAGAAGTTATAAATGTAATCTATTACCCCATAAGCAGTTACAGTCCATTCTGTAGCAGACAGTAGTGTTTATTACTTTCTTACTTCAAAGAAACTGTGTGTGTGTATGTTTGCGTGTAGTGTGTTTGTGTGTGTGTGTGCCAATGCATGTGTGTATTACTGATGTTCTTTAACTTACAGTGAAAATATATCACAACAAACCCACTATATGTTGAAAATATCATAAATCCAATATATATCTGACACCTAAAATACTAAACCTAATAGTTTACCAAAACTAGACATTGTAAAATATTGGTTGTTTGGCATCGGGCATTTAAGGCAGTCTTAGGAGCTACAGCTAGCATCATCACCCAGCATCTCAAGATATTAACATATCACTAGCCTGGGAAAAGATTAAAACACCACAGTTGCCACTGGATGCCTACTATGCTGGCTCCGTCCTGAAGCTGGAATGGCATAAGAACCATCGTAATCAGGGATTATCCTTATAAGCAATTTCCTCTTCTATAATACCTCCCCTAACAAAGACAAAAAGAAATAATATTGGCTAACTCTATCTCAGGGTTAATTTTATAGGATATTTAAGTGTGGATTTGGCTAGCTGAAAGAGAAGTTAGCACCTCCCAAAGGTGGATTAGGTGTTAATTTCTCTTTCATCTAGCCAAATCCACACTTAAATATCCTATAAAAGTATCCTCTTAAGGAGAGAAGTGGATTCTCACACATGCCAGTTTCCTTCAACAAGATGATTTGTCATCAAGAGGGTAGTTACCTCAGCTTTGGGTGGAAGATGTTTCATTTGTAGCCATTGCTTGGAAGGAAACATGGCAGATATGAGTGATTATGAAAGATGTATTGGCAAGGACTATACTAGACTGGACTGTGCTAAGTTCGGTTTGCCTAAAATAATGATCTACATTCCCAGAATTCCCTTTTCCATATCATTCAGAGTGAAAGCTGACACAACATTCTATAGACTTATGGGTGGGGTTTGTCAGGGATAGGCAAAACAAGAGTCATCAAGTGTGGGCACCCACATGTGTTTCTAGGTTGCCCTCTTTTTCCCTGACTTCATGTTGCCTTCCTTCTGCTGACTTCACTGACCCTCCATCTATGTGAGACCCAGGGAGCTTACAACTGCTCACTCTCTAGCTCCACACAGACCTTTCTACTGCCCCTAATTGAAAGCCCTGTCTCGGTGAGACATTCTAGACTTCATAAATTTTCTGGAAGTTCCCACTCGCCTATCCACACAGTGCTTTAGCCAAATCAGTTAGTCGTTCTCAGACTTTCTAGCCTCCCTCAACAAGATGTGTCTTTCCAAGATTCTCCTTTGTGTTGGGAGAATGTTCTATAACTCCCTTATTTCCTGCAAGTACTTACAAGGGCTCTGTCTTCCTAACCAAATCTTGACCAATTAAAGGTAGTATGAACACAGAGCTGTGGTTGTGTTGGTCACTTCCTTCAAGCCCTTAAAAGATTCCTAAGTACACACACAATTGTAAGTTATGAAAGTGTGGCTCACTATGGCATGAAAACCAAACAGGAAGCCTGGAATTAAGCCTGGATATTCACCGGTAATAACCGTTCTTCGGTTCTATATCCACTAAGTGGATTAAGCGCAATTACAGTGCTCTGTGTTGAGCGACTGCCACCAGGGGGCAAAGATAATATCTTAATACAAAGCAGTAACAGTGAGAGTTGTTTACTTAATACCAGGATATAAGCATTACTGTACTCTGCAGTTTATTCAAGCTACTTCTCAGCTCCATGAATCTTGCAAGTTAGATATTATTATCCTTGTTTTACTGAGAAGAAACAGATGTTCAGAGTGTAAGTAACTTGCCCATCTCAATACCCATCTTAACAGTAAAGCAAGCAACCCTTAAAGAAAGACATATGGCTATATACTTCATCAACAATTCATCCATGTTTGTCTTCAGTGCTCTCCCATGTCCTGAGTCCTCTTCTTTCTGGAACATGTGTGTCTCAAACTAACTCCAACTGGATCCTTTGTTAACCACGCTGTGTTCTGCCTCCTCCTTTTGCACATTCTGCTAGGAGGCTTTCACACAGAAATATTTGTCATGAACAGTGTTTTATTGATAAATAATACCTGCACACTTTCATTATTGTGGTCTTAGAACTGGAACTTGTTCATTCATTTATTTAACAAACCATTCCTATATTTCTGAATAGCTGGTAAATGATACCATCCCAATACTGAGGCAGTAATGAAAAACCCCATCAAGCAGGCCTCTGGAGGTTTCTATCCAGTAACCTCAATGGAAACCTTATTCCATATTAGATGATCACTAACTGTGAAAAGGCCACTCCTTTTGTTCTCCTGAATTCTCTCCGCAGAACTGTCAATGCCTCTGTCTTCTGCCATGCATGGAGTAGAGACAGTTCAGTTTGGACCTCCAGTGTTCAGCCATCCTCTTCCTAACTCCTGACTAGTGGGTTAGGTGCCAAGTCCTCAAGTATAGGCATAAATGTCACATTTCTAAAGAACTCACTGACATACCAACGTGGCCATATGGTGCCAGCCCTAGCTGACTGGTTGATTGTTGTTGGTACATGTGGGAAAACAGACTATGAGAAACTTGAGGCTATCTCTAGTCTCTTAATCATATCTCTCCCTTGCACCTAGCTCAGTGCATGACACAAAGCATGTGCTTAATAAATGATACGACTCAATTCCTAATCTTAGACTTTTATTTAATTGAGTAAATGCAAAAGTACTATTTGCCACATATTGTTTCAGACACCACACAGAGCTGTGAAGGAACAAAACAGACTTGAATCCTTCCTCACACCCTACATTTTCTGAAGTTAAAAAAAAAAAAAACCTCCTAGTGACTCATACTATTGCCCTTGCTCCTGAGTACCAGAGCTGAGCTTTAGTTTCCTCACTGTTTAGCTATAAATTGGAAGAATTAGATATTTTATTTTAAAGTTATTTAGGTCCTAAGAGTCTTATGAAGGGTATAGACTATATGAAGCATCATGGAAATTAACTTAATATTTATGTTCTTAAATTAGTATGTTCATATTAACTTTATGGAGAATCCAGCGATGCTAGAATTACTGTTCTTTCAATCCTGCTCTCTGCCACTTACTCTAACTCTCTTTACATCATACTCTGCATTTGACACCCTCTATAGGATCCAGTGTCTCTCAAAAAAAGAATGTAATAGATAGATTCATACAAGTAGAAACAACTCAAGGACCACCAAGAATCTTGATCATAATAATATTTAGGAGACACAGAACCTCATGAAACTCTGCTCAAAATGTGTGGCAATAGGCCACTTTGTAGAATTATTTGGTTGAAAGACCCATATCCAAAATCATTCTTATCTCAGTGTGTTTTGACTGCATAGCAATTAGTTGCCAAGCATCCTACAGAGTCTGAAAGGTTTCTTGACTTTGTTTTGTATCAAAAGAAATGAGCATTGTATCCCTCTAAATTTTATAGGGCTTTTGCTCATACCCTATACCATTAAAATTAATGCAAATCATTAAACAAATTTGCATTCTAAATCAGCACAAGATACTCTCCAGTAGTGCATTATGATATTTGTAGGTAAAATACACTGTGAAGCAAAGCTACACAAGAGAAACCCTGTCTCGGAAAACCAAAAAAAAAAAAAAATACACTGTGAAAATGTATTCGCTTCATAGAAAAAACATACAAACATAAATATAAGTAAAGAAATTTCTAGCGATTCTTGCTACTCAGATTAAGTTATCTCTAATCCCTACCATGTCTGGATTTTCACTATTCCTCACAATAGCAATACAGCCATTGTCCTTTTAAAAGCAATGGCATATGAGGAAAACTTTGTACAGGTGTTGAAATAACCAGCTTGATGGATGACTTTCAAATACTGGAGGCGGAGAACGAAATGTATGTCTAAAGATGCCACACTACCTCTAAATTTAAAAAAAAAAAAAAGTTACTGCCCTTTGGAGATTTTTGTCTCTCCTTAATGCATTAAATATACTTCATACAAAATTAGTAGATATTTGTCTGAGCAGATATTTTAGTTTTCTTAAAATTATTTTCACCTTTGAGAATGGGTAACCTTATTATCTCAAACAAATAAAAGGACTATTTTCCCCAGATACAAGCATAAGCTACTCAAAAATTAAAATCATCTTCAGTAGAAATCTATTTCACAACATGATAATTGAATACAACATGATCCAAAATAGTTATTTCATAAACTTGCTAGCCTATAACAGAAAACCAGATGTTTCTCAGAACTGAGAAATTTCCTCAGAACTGAGTTGCAGTTTGTGATAGTGGCCAGAAGAGGGCAGGGTCTTGTTCTTATGACCCAATAGTACTTTGTGTATTTACAATGTTGTCTTTAAAGAGAATTGTTTGAAAGTGTTTTCCTTTTTACAAATAGTAGCTAGAGAGTGAAAAGTCAGACATTCCAAAAAGAATATATTCAAATTTATTGGGTTTACTTACTACTGATCATTTATCTGCAAATAAAATAGTTTTAAATACTTGGAATAACTTCTGATCACCTGTGGTGGGGTTGGGAAGGAGGAGGAAGACATGGAGAGGGAGAGGGAGTTGTTTTAGAATAATAAACACATAGAATTAAACTCGGTTTTTAATCCCCCCTCGGTTCATTTTCTACAAATGTTCTAATTTTTACAAATTTTTACAATTATAAACCCAACTCTACAATAAAATAAAAACAGATATGGCTTTACAATAGAAAAGATAATTTATGGAGAAAATTCATTGGTTTAAAATAAAATTATTTCCTGAAATAGGTTTATTCAGGGCACATATAATGTTCAAACGTTTCTTTGATTTAATAAATGCTAAAGAAAAGTCTTCAAGTCTAAAGTCTATTGCTTAAAAAACAGCATTTAAGGCTGGTAAGCCATTCATATACTCATTGAAGAACATTAATGGGAGGGGGGGTGCGCGCGCGTGCGCGCGTTATGGTTCCAGAAACACCACAGAATGTTAGAGCTGATATGTTACAGATGTTCCTGATTGGGCCTGAAATAAAGTCTACCACCAGTTACTAAGTGCTTGCTGGGAAGGTGGGACGGCTCCCTAATCATCCCTGGAAAGGAGTAATCCAAAGCTGGCCGAAAAGGCAGTGCTGGAACCAGTCCAGGCGTTAGATAGGGCGACACAAAACCAGACAGCGCTCTTCCTGGAGAAGAATATGCCAGGCGCAGTGGGCTGAAAGCTAGTCTAGGACTGAAACTGTAGAGACTTGAATCTCCTCCATAAGCAGCAGACGTGGCTTCAAGAGGAGAGAGAACTGATTTATTACTTAAAGTCCCAAAGCCAATGCCAGCAAGACTAAAATCTGAAGCTCTCTGGAAGGCTGCATTTTCCAACTCTGCGTGTGCTGGGTCCCTGCAGTCTGGCTTATGTTCTTTCCCGTTTAAGATCTGTTCAATAGCTTGGACAACATCTCCCTTGCAGAACTGTAGAATGCCTTCTAGGCGGCTACGCCGGTAACCTGGAAAAATCCTAGTAAGAATTCCGATAGGGTCTCGTGGTCTTGAGGTCACCGTGGAAAGGCTGGCTCTGGTGGCAATGTAGTCTCTGGCCCACTCACTTTCATTCCCTGATTCCAGGTCAGAGGAAGAGAAGGACCTGGGACTGTCTTCTCCTCCTGATTGCTCCGTGGAGCAAGGAGACAGGATTATGTTGGGTTTGTCTGAGTGTTCTGAAATAGATGACATGAAGCCCCGTTTCTCCATGGTACCATTACCCTTAGGAGATGATTCCAGAGAATGATGGTGAGTGTTGGAGACTAGTTCTTCATGTCTACTCTGGCATGACTCACAGTTATTCTCTTGGGGTTCTGTAGAAAAGAAAACAGAAAATAATCAGCCATATGAAAAATTTGCCACAACATAGTAGTGCCCACTCAAAGACAATGATGTATGAAATAATTCACTCACTCATAATTCATATATACATATATAATTAGCAATTTTGATCCACCCACAAACATCTTCATGAAAGTCACATTTTAGAGATTGCTCAGAACTAACATATGCCCAAACAGAAGAGAATGTTGTTACATGCATTTCATGATATAAGCTTATACAGTAGGGACCTAAATCCTTTAACATTTAGGGATCAAAAGAGCAGAGTTTGTTGTTACCCAAACGTGTCAATGTGACACCATCTTGGAATCAGAGATTTTCTAAAATGTCCAAGCTTTGCTTTTGCCAAAGTGATGTTCTTTTTTCCCCCATGAAGACTCTATATAAAAAGAACTAAGTTAAACAGATACCAATGGATAAGAAGTCATTAAAAAGAAAAAAATTAGCTTAAACGTAAGTATTCTATTTAAGTTCTAATGCTCAATGTCAATAAATGATTTTCACACTCACAATTCAAGTTATAATTAAGTAGCCTAAATAATGTAGGGAAATAAGCTGCTGGTGGCATTTCAGGTAAGACCAGGTGTCTTCAGGATGACATGAATGTAAAGCATTCCAAACTAAAGCCATAATGTTCCTGGTGCATCAATCACAAATCGCATGAGACTTGGGTACTTCATTTTATGGGAGAAATAATAATAATAAAACAGCATTCTTTGTAACTTCTGGTGAAAGATGCATTTTCTTTTTCAGTCAACACCAACTGTTAAGAAAAGATTTTTAAAACCAATTTCTCCTTATAGAAAATTACAAACTTCATGAATGCAATCTGCATGGACCCTGTAAAAGCAATATATTAGACCTTTATTACCCATGACAACCCCCATTGGAATATTAAGAGCAATTTTCTAAAAAAAAGAAAACATTTTATTAAAAACTCTGATTTTTCAATTTCAACATATTGAGCATAAGAATAAAACAAAAATATTTCAATTCTATACTGGCAAGCTAATACCAGGACACTAATAACAATGTACACACACACACACACACACACACACACACACACACACACACACCTCAAATAATGCTATCTGTGTTTCATCTCCTCTTGTCATTTACACACACTTTAACCCTGGAAAGGTAAATCTATCCAAGACTTTCAGTAGTACTTCTCCCTAACTTTCTGTCTCTATAGCATTTTTAATGGTAACATAATAAAGAAATGGCAATCTTCAATATTCTTTGATGTTTCCCTGCATCTTGAAGAAATAGTCCTAAACACTGTCCATAGGCATCTATAGTTTATTTAAAATGTAAATCATGTCCAATTCAGCACTTTCAGTGTCAAAACTCCAAATATTTAATGAAAGAAAAGTCGTGACTGTTGTAACATTGCACACTGGTAGTTTCAACTTTAAATAATGTAAACACTTGTCAAATGACATTTGCCACACGGAAATAAATTCTAATTGTTCTTTTGTTCCACTTGCTTATAAATGTGACTCATTGAGTATAGCTCCTGAAACACATGAAGTATCAAAATTACATCTCTGCTGTTTTGTCTAAAAATAATGTGTTACTTTTAAGTTGGACTCCCAGGGCAAATTCATGTAAAGAAATACTGGCCGCAAGCTATTCATGAGGGCTGCCACCTGAGATCCCAATGTTCAAGGAGGCTGAGGCAAGAAGATGGTCAGGAGCTCGAGGGCAGCCTAGGCTTCTTAGTTCCAGGCCATCCAGGATATGATGTGAAGCCCTGTCTCAAAACAAACACAAAGTGGGGGGGGGGGGAGCAAGAAATACTGATTGTCTGTGAGTATTTGGAAAATAAGGTTTCTTTTAAATACTTGGTATAATTCCCTTCATCTCTGTCCTCTCAACTTCTGGAGTTTTGTTTGTTTGTTTGTTTGTTTGTTTGTTTGTTTTATTCATTGTTGTAGTTTTAGACACTGATAGCCTTCCTTCTTTTGAACATAAAGTTCTTTTACATAGGGATATGCTATTCACCTCCGAATCACTGTAGGTCTTTGTTTTGTGAATGAATAAGTTAAATACAGTATCTTACTATAATTCATGCATATTGTGTAAGAGGAGGTAGACAATTTAGAAAGTCAATGAAGAGGCCTATTAAATATAGACTTGCATTTTATAGGTGAGTCATTCATGGCAGAATAATGTAATAAAATCATTAGGCCTGTAAAATGAACGTTTTAGTACCAAAAATTTACATAAATCCATACCACCAGCCAACTCTCATTACCAGCCTAGGTGAAGGAACCCTAGCATTTGCTTTTCTTCGGAAAGAGTTCAGTAATGTTTCTCCTCAGTCTCTCTTGATCGTCCATGGGAAACACTCAACGTCTATTGGTCTATTGAAATAAACTAGAGCATGTGTCAAAAGCTGACATAAATGATTGCAAAATTTCAACTCAGAAATGGTCTTCTTTCGAAATTACACGCAGTTTTGCTAAGATTTGCAATTTTCACAACCAAGGAGAGTTTCTAATTAGTAACTTACCGCCCAGTTATCTCATAACTTCGTGTGATACAACCTGTTTGGGACTTTAACAAAATGATTAAAAGGAAATGTTCCCTGCTTATCGACCCTGTGAAGGGTTGTGAAATTTATGGAAACACAATGACATTAAGATTACAGGAAAAGTTAATTCGGGGTCGCTTTGTGTACAGATCCAAATAGGAGATAGTGAGCATAATAACTTTGCTGTCAGAAACTACGCAGCAGTGCTATAGCTACTCTGCTGAGACCGCTCCAGCTGTAAACTGACGTTCTTGCTAATGGTTTGGCTTTCTGGAAGGCTTAAACTTATTTCCAACATAAACTAAAATCCAGTCCCTGAAGCTTTCCACTCCTCTGGGAATTGTGCTTAAAGAATTAAAAAGGGATGGGGCAGGGGGATGGGGGGAGCAGGGTAATTTCAGTTTGTTTCTTAAGTTCTAGCTGTTGACAAAACGTTGTCACCAAAGCCAAGAACATCACAATAACCACAGTCAACGGGTTTCCCGTGCAAGACAAGAAGCCTCACGGTGGTTTTTACAACTGGAAAGAGTGCAAGCACACTCGCTAAAGTTCTCTCTCACCACCCGCTGAAGTTCTGCCCACACAAAATCAAAGCAGACTGCACCCAAATCCATCCCCAGGGCGAGCCTGCGGCTGCGATCATCCACGTTTCATTTTTTCATTATCTTTCTCTATCAGCCGGAAACAAACAGCTCTTCTGTTTGTGAAAGCTTGGTACCTATCCTCCATCTAGCCATCCACGTTGCAGATTCACATCCCTGAACTTCATCGCTTCTTTCGAACAACTTTCTGCCCACCTGTAGGGTGCTGTTGCTCATTTCAGAGCATCCTTCCAGAACAGTCATTTTCTCGCACGGAAAGCAAACCAAACACAACTCACCCTGCTTTGCCTCCGCATAATCTTGCTGGAAAACCTCGAAAGCGGGTACCTCCCGGCTCCCGGGGTGCCTTGAAGCACCGGCTCCGAGCACAGCCATAGCCTCGGGCCTGCGTACGGCCTGGGGACTCGAGCTCCTGCCGCTGCCAGCCGACGCCGACGCTGGAGCTGCGGACCCCGACGGCCCCGAGTACAGGAGCCGGTGCAGCCCACGGGCCTCGCTCTCCTCCTGCGCCTGCTGCCTGCGCAGCGCCACCTGAGCGGCCATGACGCGCTGGCGCTCGGCGATCAAAGTGCACTTGGCACACGCGCAGTCCCGCCAGCGGCAGAAGCGCTTGTGGCCCTTGAGCGCAGACACCACGCCGTGATTGCGACAGCGGGCGCACTTCGGGGTCCGCGGGTAGCCGCAGGCCACCGCCCCCAGCGCCCTATCCAGCCCCGGGCCAGGAGGGCATCCTCCGCGACCCGTGCTGGCGGCCGATCGCAGGAACAGGCCGGGCGGCCGCAGAAAAGCCGCGGACACCGGGATCCCCGACGGCACCGGGCGCGCGGGCGATGCAGGTGGAGCGGCCCGCAGCCCAGGAGCCAAGTGGGGTCGGCAGCCGCCGCTGCGGTCCCTACGGCCTAAAGGAAACTGCTCCATTCTGAGAAGGCGCCTCTAAGGAGTAGCGACCCGCAAGGACGCTGTCCAGAGCTACCGGTAAGGATGCAGGCTGCGAACCCGCCTAGGTCCTGCTGTCCAACTCGGCACACCGACGAGATTACTCTCCTGGCCCAGAGCAGGAAACCGCCTGGTCCAGAACCTGACCGCGCAGTCAGCCACTGAGCCTCTGAGTCCAGACGCTGGGATAGTTGTCCTGAGCTCTGCCAGTCTCCTGAGCCCAGGAGGGGCAGGCTGGAGAGGCCACCCCGCCCACCCTGTTGGCTGGCCAAGGAAGAAGGCCAGGGGAGGGCCAGGGGCGGAGAGTGGGGACTTTCTGGGAGGTGGCCTATGGGAAAGATTAGAAACTGTCCTGATGAGGTTGAAAGACCCATTATGGAAAAAAGAAACCCCTCAACCCCATGGTCTAACCCCACCAGTTCCCCAAGGAATGGATTATAAAATAATCTCCCTATTTTCCCTTTACTGCCCTAATTTAAGCAAGATTTGAAGCTCTTTCTCAAGCTCCGTGCTTCTACTAAGTTGGAAGATCTGTGATTTTTACTTCTCTTCTTTCCCGTTTCTAGATGAAGTCAAGAGACCAATGTGACAAAGAGACACGACACAGAGCTTGGAAGACTGTGGCCGCTGCTCATTGGAAAGTTATTTTAAATAGCTCCCGAGACGGCTTACAAAGCGTGTATAAACAAGAGAACTGATTCCGAGTCGAACTGCTTCATGTGCTTTCTATTTATTTACATGTGCAAATGCGGACTGTATAGGGAGTGTGCTTGAAACATTTGCTGTCAAGGTCACTGTGAAGCTCTTCGCTGGAACTACTTATGGGCAGCAATTGAGTTAAAACTCTCTCAAAAAAAATACTTCATATTTCTCTTGTGAGATACTGAGGAGGGCCATGAAGATCAATCTTTATGCTGTCAAAATGCATGCTTGAGCTATACATGTAAAGGGTTTAATTGTTAAGAGGAGATCACAATGATTCTAAACCAAAGGAGCATTTGAAGCAGAAAATTCCTGAGTGTAGTAAATGAAAGGGGGAGTCAGCAGTCTGAAAGGTCCTCATGAAAACATCCAACTGCTTTAACAGGCAGTCATACTCTAGCCCTAAAAATGGCAGTCATTCTATTTTAATTATTCCATAATTCCAGGTCAGACAATCTGGATAGACACTACCACCATCACCTCCTACCATACAGACATCCTCTCACAAAGACATACACCCTTCCTAAGCACTGGAATGACCTTGGGAATAAAAACACATGGTACCCCAACCCAAGTATTCTGACACTTTTGTAGTGACTCTTAAACTAGCATGGGGATGGGGACCTATAATCAATGCCAAGGACTACCTGAGCCCTCTGGCATTTGTGATAACCAAAAGTTTTCAAATCTGCCTAAGGTCTAGTGATTCTCAGCTGTGGAACAAATCACCAACATATGAAAGATGGGTTTTTAATGCTACTTGAGACATAATAATGTGAATAATAGTAGGAAGTCCCCTTTCCAATTCATTTGAGGAATCAGTTACATAAAGAAAAATGTTCAGATTGGTGAAAGCATCTTTGCATTTTCCTCACTTTTGTGTGCTTCGTAATGTGCCTGCAAAAAAGCCTCCACATTTAAAGTAGCTCTAAAATTTAGTAATATTTTTCTCTTTGTATTAGATCCTGATGCTACCTTACACTTATAATAAGTGATAGTAGTTTTAATTCAAGAAAACAAAACTAGTTTTTAAGAAAGTGCATTGGAGTAAAATATGAGCAATTTGAAAGAAGAACTGAAGTGATGCAGATGAACACACATGGTATAGAAGACACATATGCTCCTATTTATGATTTTAAACTCAGCCAACAGACACTCTTTGGCCTGCAGAGGCTAACTGGAAGTGAATAAAAGCCTTGTCCCTAAGATCAGGAACAGAACAAAACAAGGAAGTCCACTCTCAGCACTTAGGTTCCATTCTACTGGAAATAGTGGCCAATATCATCAGGCAAGAAAAATCATCCTGAAGTCATTCAGCTCGGATGAATGTCATAAGATACACTCTATCTTTAGGTGATGTGAAAAAATGTGTGTGTGTGTGTGTGTGTGTGCAAAACTTTTTTGAAAAAAAAAAATTCCTAAAACTAATAAGTGGCTTTTGAAAGTTTGCTAAATATAAGATGAATATTCAGAATCATTGCATTTCTATATATTGAAATAAAGTCAAATGGTCATTAAATTAATGGAGGAAATAAATCTATTTATAGCAGCATTCAAATCACATTTGAGCTATTTATAATGAAATTTATAAAAAAATTGAAACTAACAAAGCTTTGCTAATATAAACTAAAGAACTGTGTTCATGAATAAGAAAATAGTTAAGATAGTAAGTCTGTCTAAATTAATCTATAAATTATTCAGTCTTCAAGATAAAAAAAATTCCATCAGTTTTTTTCACAGAAACTGTCAGGTCTTCTCTTAAATTCATATGAAAGTGCAAAGGAAAAATTTTATTAGAGCCTAAAATATTTTTAGAAAAGAATAAAGTTACAGGGAAAACATTACCTTGTTCCAAGAATTATTTCAAAGTCATGGCAGTCAAAATGGTAATGCTGGTGTAAAGAGGAAAAAACAATAGAACAGAACAGTTTAGACAAACATCTACACATGAAGATACAACTAGAGTTTGGCAAACAAGCTGAGATATCTCAGCTGATAAGGACTGTTCTCCCAGCAGGCTTTGCCAGAACAATTGGGCATTTGTATGCAAAACATTAACTTTGACTTATATCTAGCATCACAGACAAAAGGATCTGAAAGTGCATTCTGTGGCATAATGGTCCTAAAAATAATTATTATGTGGGAAAGAAAGAAGACAAAAATGATGATACATGGTGCAGTTTGATTTACTCCGACTTCTAGAAATCGATGTCAAAACTCACCAGCACCTATTCCCTGGGATAAGCAAGAGCATAGAAAAACAGAAGAGATGGCAAAAGATCAGAAGAAAAGGGGAGATAATCAGTGTGGTATCATTTTAATTGTTGTAATGGTTTTTTACTTGTACATACATATGTCTAAATATGTATACATTAAATACCACAAGTTTACTATATATCAGTTGAGGGCAATGTGAGCAAAATTAGGCCAACTTCAAACCCAAAGCTGGAGCAAGGATTCCCATATGTTACTCAGACACACTGGAAAGCCCAAATCTTTTTCTTTCCTCCTCCCTTAACCTCCCCTTTACCCAGGCCCCCCACTTTTCCTCATTTCTCATCTTATACTATATGTTCCCTCTTTCCCTCAAATTATGTCATTTTTTTCCCTTTTTGGTCCATCAGGGAGCAATTAAACACTGTCCCTTTTCTTTTAAGTCACACTAAGAAGATGTTAACAGCTACAATTTAACAGGGGCATCACTTTCATCAAGTGGAAAGGTGGTATTTTTAATTAAACAGTGTGTATTACAACTATTTCATTCTCAAATGTGTTCTAAATAATCATCTGGTGAATGAAAACCAGTGGGCTGTATCAGAAGCGAGAACAGGCCACTAATAAATACAATGTTTCCCCAACTCAAAAGCACCTGCTCTTCTTTTTCTTAAAGATCGGTTTTATTGCAGTTCTAATTCCCTTATTACCCTGGGCCCTGGAAGTCAACTGTTATTTTGTTGTTGTTGTGCAGTGCCAACCAGGGACCTGGAGGGATGGGGCAGTAGGTCTGCCTCTGATGCTAACAGGAAGGGCTGGGTGTAGCCATATATCCATTCAGCTTTCCTCTCCCTCTGACAATAACAGGAAGCCTTGGATGCAACTATGTATCCATTCAGCTTTGCTCTCCCCATTGACAGGTAAATACAAGTCAGCTCCAAGGATGCTTTCAAAACTATGGTTTGTTTCATTTTTTAGTCTAGCCTGTAGTTATTTTTCATTAATGTTCTTGACCTATAAAGAGTCCCATAACTACCTGTCTGCATCCCGTTCAAAAGGTTTCTCATCATAGCTGTCTGAACTTCAACTAGCACTATCCCAGCTCTCACAGGGGAATTGCCTCAAGTATGTTTTTTTTTCTTCCACAGGTTCTCTCCTTCTGAGACCTGAGTCCAGAAATAGACAAAACATCCTGAATCTCAATTTCTATTTCAATCTTCAGGTTTTCATGCTAATTCTTCTAGTGCTTCTAAAATAGTTCTATTTCTATAATCTACAACTCAAATTTCCAAATAGCCTTTTGTGTTCTTTATTTGGCTATTGTTACACTTCCATACATTTTACCAAATAACACTTTGGGAAGACTTTAGGGCAAAATACAGATAATCTTGAAGAGGAAAAAATGAACCTAACAGAGAGTCTCCTTGTGATATAGAATTGAATATACAAAGCAGAAATCCACAGAAAATGAGCACAGACTGCAATTGACAGAAGCCCAAGAAAGAAAAAGAGAGGATGCCGTGTTCTTAGATAAACTGTTGATAAAGGACAAGTGAACTGTACTAGACTGAAGGAAGGTTTTGTAAGAGGACTAGGTATTTGAGTGGGAAAGTTCTTCATGGCCTAGTTTTACGTGCATTAACATATATAATTCACTCCTTTGCTTTGGAATACCTGAGAGAATACCTTACATGGCCCATTTAGACCAAGGCTTTCGAAGCCAGACTACATGTAACAACACCATGGCTTGTCAGATGACCAGAGGCAGATTTCGAATACACTTGTCTTTTCCTGAGTTTGTCTGGAATGTTAGTGAACATTGTCATTATTCAGAGGCTACATTGTGCAGGATGATTTTTCACGTTTAATATTACCATACCTAATTACTCTACCTCGCAATATTGATATTATTTTATTTCTCCCTGGTTTAAGGGAGCTGAATATGTACTCCTTAAAAATGATTTATAGATCAAATTATTCCTTTAGCATAAATCGTCCTAGGCATAAGAACTGAAATAAAGGTTGCAAACACTTTTAAAACTTTTGGTTTGTGTCACAAAATTCCTTTCCTAAAGTGTCCATGAATTTGAATTCTAACATGTGGTTCATTTGCTCACCACCACCACCCCCGTATGTGTATTCTTGCTAAGAAACTGATGTTTCACTCTCCTGAGCTAAGAGTAATAAACCTGCAATTCTAAGAGGAAGATAATTCTACAAAATTTTATCTCATAAAAAGTGATTTCCAGATCTCTGGTGGACTGTGTCTAAGGTAATTAAAGCAAACTGTAGCAAAATCTCCAATCATTATAACATACCCTGATGGCTCTGGTACAAAATTGATGAATTAACCAACCCTCTACTAAAGAATCTATTGACTTGCAAACTATCAAAAGAATTAGATGTCATTGTAGTTACTTGTAAACACACGTGTTTAAATACAATCCTTTTCTTTAAAACTCCAACAAATCTAAGTCTATTGTGCGAATAGTGTATATAACTTGTGGCACTTTCTTTTTTAATTATTTTTCTTATATTTTTTGAGATTGTAATATAATTATATAATTTTTCCTCTCCCTCTTGCCTCCAAACACTCCCACATACCTCCTTGCTTTCTTTCACATTTGTGGCCCTTTTTTTTCATTAACTGTTGTTGCATTTATACATATGCATGTATTCACATTTGTTTTTTCTGAATAAAACCAGATCAGCCTATATAATGCTACTTGCATATATGTTTTCATGGCTGATCATTTCGTTATCCAATACTATTTCTGCCCCACCTCAACAT